ATATGAGAGAGCATTTTATGAATTAATATTGAGAAAAGTGACCATAGGACCAGCTTTATGCATACACAAGATGACAGACAAGAATCTGTCTACAGGACAATGTTTGCTTTGGCCCAGCCCAATTGATAAGAGAGAGATTTAACTAAAATTGTCAGGGAGAAGGCTACAATCCATGGAACCACTGGGAACAAAGCCAATCATGAGATATATGGGGAAAGGGAAGAAAATGATGGGAAATTGGGCTGGTCCATTTAGTATCTCTAAATCCTGTTGCCACGTAATAAGCACCTGGTGAGATTTCAATTAAGATGAATGCCTTGAACTCACACCTGGAGATTCTCACCTACATGGCCTGGGGTGTGGTTTGAGCATCTGTAGTTTTAAAATGCTCCCATGTGACTCTAATATGTGGCTAAAGATGACAAGGACCCCTGGCCTACTGTGACCTCAAGGTACTAACATGGAAGTGTCACATATGTGTGGCTACTCCACAGAAAAGGCTGAGTATCCATCAGCCTTTGATGGGATCTGTATTCCCCTCTCAATAGTACTGTTTGTATAGCATAGAAAAAATCAAGAAGAAAAACAAGAAAATTAATAGATTAGACTTTTAGCCTCTGCTGGAAGCACACTTGCTCAATTTTGAATAAAAGATAAGAAATAGTCAGTATGTTAACACCTAATGCACAAAAATAATACCTCCCACATTACATATACTGGAATTTAGTATTTTCTTTTGCATTTTAAAAGAAAACTTCCAGTTTACATTTCCCCACACCCATTTTATAGCCCACTCATGGGCTCACCACTGCAATGTGAAAATTTCACTTTTGGTCAATTATTGTTCTTCTGCAAAATCCCCAAAGAGAACTCATTGATCTCACTTTCCTGAAGAGAATACAATAACAAAGACTGAAATTCTGCAGGAGATTGTGTATGAATCCTTCTTCATGCCTCTCTTCACACTGGCATAAAATATTAAAAACAAACCTTTCCCAAAATGTACTTGGGGAAAACAGTAAGTGGGAGGGGAGAAACTAATGCCTTTCACTTTGTACTTCAGAGTTTTCTTGCTCTAGATATTGAGAATGTTTCTAGAAATGCCTTAAAGTGGAACCAGATGCGGAACAACTTCAGGGCATTAGGGAAAATAAGTTGGGCCGTGGTTACAGTCCCAGCTCTCTCTTTACTAACTCCATTTCGAGTCACTCTTTTAAAAATTCCGTTTCTTTCCTGATTCCCTTTGGACAAATACTTATAATTATATTTGTTTCATTTAATTTTTTTAACCAACCAAAGAAGCAGAAGCAACTTCATATTTATTTGTAAAATCATATTCCTGTCCTAGCCAAGGTGACCCAACCGCTTCTCGTGACTTGATACCTCCAGATTGCAGCCTTTCCTCTCGCTTTCTCTAATCTTTATTGAAACGGTGTTAGTGGGTGGATTCTAATTCAGGGGTCATCAATAGCAAGTCATGTGCCCTTAGTTCAGTCTTACCCCTGTGGCATCACTACTCCTCTGTTGTAAAAAATGGAACTGGACGTGAATGTTGTCTGAGGTCCCTGCTGCTTCTCACATCCAGGATTCTTCCCATGGCCCTCCCGTTCCTCCCTAGAAAACTAGGACATGGAGTTGTAAGGGGGTGCATTTCTCTGCAAAGGGTCCTCTCCTTCTGCTCCCCTCTGTTTCTTGGCCAGCATCATTGATGCTGAGCACATCCTCAAGGGGAGGAAAAGCCATCACTCTGCTCCAGACAGCGGGGATCAGAAGGAAAGGGGCTGATGTCCCCTGCTGCTGGTTGGGCATAGGTGGGGTCCTTATATCCTGCACCCCAGGCTGACTGGAAGTTCAGGGAAGTTCAGGAGTGTTTTCTTCTCATTTGTGGATGGCACTTCCTCCTTCCATCATCCCACGGCTCACCCTTCAGTTCACCCTGCCAGCAAGAGATCAGTTTGCCCCTGATATATCTCTACTTAGCAATCTCCCCAGACTCAGTCATCAGGAGGACGTGACAAAAATGCTCATTTGATTTTTTACTCTCTCTGTCCTACAGATACCAAATACTGCTGGAAGGATGCAAAGGATGAAAGGATGTCACAAAAAGTAGCTTTTCCACTTGATGAAAACAACTAAAACAGCAAAGCAAGTTCAAATCCAAACACAATACTGCAGGGGTCCTTCACTGAGGATTGAATTTTAGACACAGAATACTCTTGAT